TGAAATAAAGAAAGTCAAAATTCCCCTGCACAAGCACATGCTCATTGCTGAGAACTGTCAGCAGAAGCATTAGAAGTGTCCAAGACCCTTCTCTGCTGGGCAGTGTCCTTCCTGTGCTAAATAGACAGGCAGGACCATTTACAGCAGTTTCTAACTCGCTTTTAAGGAGGGGGAGGTGGCTAAGAGGAGCGAAGCAAGAGACACAGTGTAGTCGATTATTGCTGCTCCGCAGTCTGCAGGGGTGTGATTTAATAAGGGGACAACTAATCATAGCCAAGTTTTGAAGTCAAGAGTCAGGCAGTCACAGGAAATCTGTGTGAGCATAATTCCACAAAACTTCTAATCCTCTCCTTACACTAGCGTGTGTTGTCTTCCCGAGTCAATGCACTCCCTCTGGTGGCAAATTTACTGTCTCAGTTTCACTCTTTTTTTGCAGTTAAGGTTGCATATGAGCAGATGGCTAAAAAAAAACGAGAGAGTAAGAAACTACTGGTTTTATTAGGTTACTTTATCGTTTTATATTCTCGACACTGAGGGCACAGATAAAGTCTGTCCATTCAAATGTATTTAAAAATAATCTTCATATGTGGAAAAAGAGGAAGCTAAAAATATTCTATTCAGAAAGGCTAATTCTGGAAAGAGCCTAAAACATTGTATTTTTATCAGGTCAACGGTCTGTTGGCCTCAGTGATCTGCTGTTTTAAAACCCATGTCGGTCATTCATAAAAGGTAAATCAATGATGTGTTGAAGTCCCTTTTAGTAATTTCCTCTAGTTTCTTCTTAGGTGTCTATCTGCTCCATCTCACACTGCAAGCTTTCCTAAATAAAAAAATCTTTTTCTGCTCATTGCATGGTAGTCAGGATAATAGGTGCTACTGCTGCCTGTAAAGTATAGAGAGAAACTATGTGATGGAAATCATCAAAAGAGCAAGAAATCTCCACTCTGACAGATGAACTTTTTTTGGATGTGGTTTTTATGTCATTTGTTCATACAAGTGATTTATTTGCCTACACATTTTTAGAGAATGTTTATTGTTAAGCAAAGCCAGTGTTAAAGTGGTATTTGGTAATTAAACACTATTCTAAGACTGGGAAACATCAGTGGAAACAGTATTTACTTAATTAGCTGTCATGTTGTGTTTCAAAAGACAGAAACAAAAGCAGACACTGCTGTGAACTTGCTTGCCTGTAGGTTGATGCACTCCAGCACCTGGTGAGCTTCCTGCCTTAAGAGGAAGAGCTGTTTGCACACCTCCAACAGCTGGATTTAGATGCTGAGCTGACCGCGTCTGCACTGTAGTGGAAGGACTTAGAGTTGTATTTGGAGCAGGTTTATTGAGGGCAAGAGAGAGAGAGAGCAGGGATGGCTCATTTTAATTTCCACTGTAACCTCACTAATCTGGGTGACAGAGTGGCCTGGGACAGGGACTGCTGCTTGAGCAGAGCATGGGGTATGTAGAACCCTTTTATTCCTCTGGCTTAGTGCTCACAGAATTAGACCAAAGCTAATTTTAGAGTCCAATGTTGATGTTAGAGGCCAGTCCTATCAACCAGACTCTATTACCACTGTCTTAAAAAAAGATTCCTTGGTGACTATATAATAACCTTGAATTAATTGTCTGTCCCAGATGCCATCTAATTTCATAATCTGTAATGTCATCATTGAATATCTGTCATAATTCACTTAATTGCATGTCTGTTGCTACAGTACTTCAATTTGGGCAAATTTCTATTTTCTTACTCAGGAAAACAGTTTACACTCTCAAGATCAATTTGCCAGCTGGAGCACAGTTCTTCTGCAAATGGATGCAAAGATAAGGCTCTTGTAAATATCTGAAAGCACCATCATCTCTGCATTTACACATTCAACAGTAAGAATCTCAAAGACGGTGCATCCCAGCCATCTCCATGAGATAGGTCCTTGCTCCCAGCACATGATGCTCTGAAGGTGTCAACGTGTGTAGAGGTCCTTTGGGTTTTCAGGCATGGTTGTAGCTAAAACCACAGCGCTCAAGAAGGACTTGTGAGTGCAACCTCCCCAGAAAGAGACCAGAAGGTGTTTTTTCCCCTCTTTTACATGGATGTTCTTCCTGGGAGGAGACAACTGTGCTCCTGAACTGGTAGCGAATCATCATCTGATTAATCCATCCAGGGGACTGTAATGATGTAACTGTGTGCCATTTGATAGTAGTGTAAAGAAATTAGGAGAGACATTCACAGGTCAAAACATTAATAGACACCAGAGACTGTTCTTTAAGACCTTAGATCATATGTATAAAACAACTCAGACAACCTTCTGAATCTTCATTTATTCTCAGATAATTTTAGTGTGGTGTTGAATTAGTACTTGCTCTACTATGAATGAAATGTCAGTTCTGTTTAGCATACTAGTCTGGTTTTATTGAATATAATGATAACTACATATTTCCTTCAAAGTCTTATATCCACAGTATTAAAAGAGAAACTTCTGGTCTGAGAGGGAGTTTTTTATGACTTAATAATTGTCATCTCATTCTTAACTGTTGTAAATGAAAATGAAGCAATATGTACTGTACTGATAAAATGGCCTCTCCAATCAAAAATAGGAAGGATTGAATTTTTTTTCATTAAGCTCATGATTTGCTACTGAACCTGACCTGATGTTTTAGAACATCTATGTTTTACTAGTTTTATTAAATTAAAGTATACTTGTTATAGTTTTGGAAGTCACTAATAATTGCAAAGACATCTTGTAGCCCCGGTGGTATTTTTTGATCTCCTTACTTTTGCATATGGAAGAATTATAACTATCATCTGAAACAAATTTTGTGGTTTGATATATAAAACCCAGAGTTAATCAAACTGCAATGTCTTCATATCAGTGAAAACTATTTTGACATTCAGAGAATGTTACCACTTTTTAAACTATGTCATAAATATTACTATCCATTTCATCAGTATAACATGACCATTTATATGGATGTATTTCAGGATGAAGAGATATGGCTTAAATTCCTCTGTAATTAAATATTCTTGTGCTTTGTACATTTCTCAAGCTTCACCTTTCATATTTTGGGGGGCGGCAGGGGGAATTCCAGTCTGCTTTTAGACTACAACTGTAGAAGCTAGAGACTTCTGTTGAAAAGACAAAACCCCAAAAGCCTCAAATAAATTGTCTTCCTGGCATTTGTTTAAATCCTGAAGTGTTCCAACTTGCTATGGGCTACAGCAAAATTTTACTAAATGGGAATTTGTTTGATCATAGGGTACAATTCTGCATTTTATATCATTTTGAGTATGAAGGCAACCAAGAATTTACTTATTTCAGAAGATCTTGTAGGTTTAAAATCTTTCAAAGGAAAGGGCATAGGAAGATATGAGGAAAAAAAGTGACTAATGTTTTAGAAATTCTTTTTTTTTGGCAGTCACTGTCATTAGCAAAATGGACTGTGTTTTACACAGACAATTAAAGGAATACTATTACAATTCATTATAAGCTTACCATTGTTAAAAAGAGATTGTCATGATTTTTTCTTACCTTTTTTTTTTGAATATTGCTCTTCTCATCTTTAGTAACTTTAAATGGCTGGGGGGAAAATAACAAATATTTAGTGATGTTTGGTAAAATTGGGATAGCTTTTAAGATAACTTGAAGAATTACTTTAATTCCTTTTAAAATCTTAATTAGCTCCCTTCAGAAACATCTACATTGTGAGGCTTATTTTAAAGGTGAGAAGGATGGAATCTTTTGGTCAGCAGGCTTCAGAGAAAAGGTGATGTCTTCTGTCTCATTACATGTGTTTATGCTTTTTGATTATGGAAGAAGAAAACAAAACCAGTCATTAAAAAAAAAAAAAAAAGAAAAAGAAAAACAAGTTAACAGCAGATTTTAACAAGATTAAGAAATGTGAGTCAAGCTCAGGAGAATCACCTGTGGCTCCCTCACTTACTTAAAATGAATACAATTTATAAGAGCTGTGTATCTGAAACAGCTATTTACAATTTAAAAGTAAAACAAACAAACCAAACCAAACAAACCAAACAAACAAACCCCCCTTTTCTGTCAAAATGCTCTCTTCAGGCATTTGTAGAGTAACCCTGGTTCCAGACAATAGCCTGGCGAAGCATGACTCAGCGACAGCAAAGAGTTCACAAGGTCCCTTTGTCAAGGATTAATATTTGTAACAAGATATTTTAGCTCAGTCAAATAGTAAACATAACAAATAAGGACTCAAAGAGTCCTTAGAATTCAACATGCAGGCCTTCTGATGATATTCTTGAAGCTGTTTTGCTCCTGTTGTTTTACAAATAGTCATTTGGCATATTTCTGGGATTTCTTTTCCAGATGATGAAATTAGTTTGCCAGTCCACAGAGATTATTTGGATTGTGACATCTTCTTCTGCTTGGGTTTCTATAAAGGTACCAAAGAAAAAAGGAGATGAATCAGCAAGTGCATAAAAAATAATCACAGCTGAAAAAAAGGCATGTTATTTAGCTCTGGTTTGAGGATTGTAGAGCTTTTAATCTATGAAATAGATTATATGCCATGTAAAAAATAACACACGTCTTTTGCCTAGGAGGAATACAAAAACAGGGGCTCTTGGACCCATGAAGGAGAGCATAAATACTGCAATAAATAGAGTGTTTCTCCTTCAGAGACAAAAGGGTCTGAGCTGTATAAAGTAAAAATGCTTTGTTGTCCCTTTTGTCCTTACCAAAAAATACATGTGACTGAGGAGGAAGGACCTTTTCCCAGGGCAGATATCCATTAAAAGAGCCCTGGTTAATACAGCTGGGCCCCATGATTTCAACACTACTTTAAATATGAAATACTTGTGTCATGGAAAATCAGCATTGCTCATCTCTATTCCTACTCTAAGGGCACAAAGAATCTGGGGTCGTGAAGTGAAACTTGCTGAGGATTCATCCCCCAAGAGCCACATGGTTTGTCCCAACTTTTGAGGCGGATCTTCTATCCAGGGAGTTGGTCTGGGAGGTCTCTGCGTTCCTCCCTTTGATATGAAGGAGACGGGCACAGATGTGAAGGCAGAGATGTCTTCAGTCCTTGCCTGTTTGCTGTTTTTCCTGGCGGGCTGCTTGGGATGCCAGCACCACACCTGTCACTGCATGGGAAGGGTCTTCATTTGTGAGGAAAGCAAGGTGGTCCATGTTCCCCGGGACATCCCTGCCAACATCACCGAACTGTAAGTAGGGAAAGGGGATGGTTCTCAGCAGCAGCCTTGTTGCTGGCTCACAAAACAAACTGCCGCTTAGCAAGCCAAAGGTCAGGTTTATAGGGAGTATCTTGGAAGACTTAATGCTGGATGTTTGCAAAGCAAAGCCCTTCCTTCAACGCTCAGTTAATTACATCTTGAAGCTCCTCTCCATTTCTCTGATCGTGCTCATTTTAAGAACTCTGTTAAGAAACAATATAGCATGTTATAATGTGAAGTGCAGACCAAATTTTGAACAAGCTTCCTTGGTGCTGTGACAATAATTTGAAGCATAAAGTCTAAGCTTTCTTTACAGCTTGCTTTAGTGTTGTCGGAATGTGTAGTGCAACTTGTCTGCCCTAAACAACTTGATGATGAGCGCTTGTGTTTGTACTGCAGGAGGTTTCTGAAGGTTTGTGCTCATTTGCCAAGAAGAAACTTAATGTTTTCTTTTTGAAATCACAAAGGCATTGCAGAAAGGATTCTGATGAACAGAGAGCAATCCTCCTCCATCAGGAGCAGCACGACTGCAGTTGGAGGGAGTGAACAGTGTGAAGATACCATACTGAGTTACTCGAGAATGGGTTTTATCTATCTCAGAGTTGCTCTTTGTTTTCCATAAAGTAGTGTGAGCAATAGTGTATGGCAGCTGTTTTCTGTGTAAGTAGCACAGGGGAGCAAATGCGTTTACAGAAAGGCAAATATGTAACAGTGCAAGCGACTGTTTTCATTTTAATTTTTTTAAACAAATTATATCACCCCTTGCCTACACTCACAGCTGTCTTACATCGTTACGACCTAAAGCAAAAACAAAAGGATAGTCCTGGATAAAGCCTTTGATTAATGTCGAGTAGCAAGTTTGGAGGGAGGATACAATGAAGAATGATATGTCACTAGTTGGAAAAATATACCCCTGTCCCAATTTTGCACATAGTTACTATGCCACAGTTTTCCTAGGGCAGAAGTTTTGTTTTGTACAGAAGGAGGAGTCATTGTGCTCATTGAGTAAGCAGACTGCGGTGAAAACTTGAGAGAAATGTCTGAGTTAACCACAAAAGGTCAGTAAAAGTTTAAATCATTCTCACAACTAGAGGGAAAAATAATCCATCTGTGATGCAGGTCATCTAAATCCTGAGTGAACTGTGCTTCAGGCATATACTGCTAATTTTGTTTAATTTTGCTTTGATTGTTTCTTTAGATTACGCACTTAAGGTCTGCCTTCTAGGGATTAAGTAAAAGCATTTTTTTAATTATTTCTGCGAAGAAGTAGAGTATCACTGAAAAGCACCTGTTAGCAAAATGGGGTTTGTTCTCTCCTTGTTAACTTCTCAAGGGTTTGTTGAGGATGCTAATTTGTGGGTTCTTCAGCATAAGTATGTATTCTCTGAAACAGGCAGACATTACTGTGACTGAAAACAGGAAACAAATGCTTTCTTCTGGCAGTGCTGTGCAAATACTGGAGTTAGAGTCTCTCAACTTGGCTCTCTTCTCACTTTCTCTCTCACAAAATAAACCAGCTTTTGGTTCCTCAGGAAGCAATTCTGATCCCATTCAATCAGTATAGCCCTAGGACTGATTTCAGCATGGCTTAAAAATCTGAAAACTGCCTAGAGTTGCTTTGAATATACCAAACCTTAGAATTAGTAATACGTTCAGATACGTTACCTGAACAGCTAAGTGACAGATAAATGTTAGATTTTTCCTTCAGGATCAAAGTGGAACTCTAGAAAAGCGTTTTCCTCTGCATCTCTCTGTTGAGTGCCCAGTGGGGTGATTCAGGTGACTAAAATAGGTTTTACTGCTTCAGATAATGGTGAAGGTGCACTCTTGGTAACAGAAAAAGCTTGTTTATATTTCTTCAAAAAGTCTCAATGACTGAAAAGGGTTTTAAAATCAGTGTAGCAAATTGAGCACAGAAGGCCACAGTGTCTAAGAACCCTGTACAGGGCACAAGCAGTGATTTCTTCGTACGTAGATCTCCTGCAAGGTACTTTTTTCACTTAAGAGATCATTGTGGAAGTGCTGAATACAGTCTGTTTTTGTTTGATGTAAAGGAGAGGGGTTTCTTCAGTACACTAAAAGCTCCTCACCTTCCCTTACATGGCCTTGATAGCTTTCCTAAGTTATGCTAGAGTCCTTCCCTAGTGCCTTTAAAATGTTGAATAACATGCTGGTGGATACTTTGGATTGAGAACAGGAGCCTGATAAGCCTCACTTGTTGCTCTGTGTTTCTATTTCACTACAGCTGTTTCTGAAGCAGGGACACTGGCATGCGGCAGCCAGCTCTGTCACTTGCCAGGAAATCTCAGGATAAAGATAAAAATATGGCCCTCACTAACCATTATCTCTTTGCCATTGCTGATTTTTTAATTGTTATTATTATCTTTTAGTGTTTGAGGGTTGGTCACTGTCATGTGCTGCTGTGACAGGTTTCTTTCTCCCATCAGTGAGAGCTCTACACTCCACAGTTATAGTTCACAACAATGAACGTGAGCTCTGCAGCGTGGTACATGAGACACGGTTTTCCTCCTGGTTGGATTAGCATCTCCCTTAGCAAAGTTATTGCAAAGGGGAAGGCTGGTAGCCTCTTACAGTGAGTGATTTAGTTTTGTATTTACCATGTGGAAACAGAGCAGGAATCAGAATCCATAGGGTTTCATTACTCTTCTTGCTGCTGCATCTACTTTTTCACTTACAGGCCAAAATCTCATGAGGGGATAGTTACAGCTTGGTTTGTACGTTGCTTTTTGCAGACTTGCAAGCACTCTGCAGCCGGTGTGCTCTGAATGTTTGCAGAGGAGTCTGTGGTTATTAGCTGTTTTGCTTTTGTTCTATCTTTGGCTGGATAGAAGAATTTTTTTGGGGTTTCTTATAGATACCAAAATACCTAAGAGAATTGGAGTCAATCCATTAGAAACCAGAGGCCAAAAGTTCAGGTGGGAAATGTATGTTCCTCTGTGTCAAAGTACTAACTGTTAATTGCCTCTGGGGAAGAGGGAAGGGATGATTCAGTAGTAACCGAAGGCAGTTTGCTCCTTGAAGATTTATACCAGTTTTAAAATGTAATGTCAAGCTTTGTAATCCGTCATCAGTATTCACTAAGATTTCATTTTAGTTATTAGAGGTTTTGCTTTGAGATTGTAGTGCAAACAAAAAACATTCTCAGAAGGGATCCTTCTTAAGATTTAACAAACTACTTTCAGCAGAAATATTTGAGTATCATCAAATAACAGGATAAGAGGAAATGACCTCAAGTTGTGCCAGGGGCATTTTGGACTGAATATTAGGAAAAATATCTTAACTGAAAGGTTGGTCAAGCACTGGAATACGCTGCTCAGGGAAGTGATGGAATCACCATCCCTATAAGTGTTCAAAAGACACGTGGATGTGGCACTTGGGGACATAATTTAGTGGTGAACATGATGGTGTTGGATTAATCTTTGGACTCAGGGATCTCAGAGTTCTTTTCCAACCTTAATGATTCCATGATTCTATGGTTCTGTGAGGCAGTTTAGCCATTGTCAGAGCAGTTTAGAAGTATATTATATAGAGTGTTTGCTCCCAAGCATCTGCAAACTATAAACAGTGGGGTTTTTACTTGCTTGCTGCATAGGTGTTTTTGTACAATTGCTCAAGGATATTTATTTTAGATTATCAAGTCAAGGCTGAGTAGATGTCTGAGCACTAAAACATTGGCTGCCTTGAAATAGCAAGTTCTGTGTTATGTACGGGGTGAGTCAGATGTGCTTCCCAGCAACAGAAGCTGCAAATTATGTGAACAATACCTGCAGCACCGTCATTGACAGCTGCAATTAGGAAATTTTTTATTCTTTCACACTTAAAGTTGAAATTACACTGAAACCTGCGAACAACTACGGTTTTGCTCAAGTGTTTATATGGGTAGACTGAACTTAACCTAAGAAAGACAGGGTGCAGAGAGGACAAAGTAAGCTAAGGAAATGAAGACCCATGAAACTTTGAATTCCCTGTGTTATGGAGGTTAATCATAGAGTTCATCAATAAATCCACATATTTTCAGAATGGGATGAGAATATTTTCACAGCAAAGCATATGGAGAACATACTACATGCTAGCTAAAGCCTTTTTTAATTGTATTCGTTTTTAATTCAAACCAATTTTGCATCTCTTAGGGTTACATTCTTCTCGCCCTGAATTTATGATCAATTCATACTTTGAAGCAGAAAGCTATAGAGGTGCTGTACAATTGCTGTCTGTATATCGGTGGAGTGATCCAACACTTACTCTGGTCTCTGACATTTTAATTGGGAGGATAAAAAGAAACAAGCAGATCATAAAAGAGAAAAAAAAAGAAAAGGAAGAAAATTACACAAAAGGATAATAAAATCTGCAGGACAGATCCTCACCTAGTATAAATGACGAAATATATATCTTTATAGAAACATTCAGTTCTTAAAGCTTCAGGAGCTTTTGAACATGAGGAGGTATGCTGCACACAATAGGAGCTGCTTTGCAGTGCAGTACTCTGCTGGCTTACTCATGGTGCTATAAATAAATACATACACATGACTGTCACCTTACTAGTATGGTCTGCAGCTTGATGCATGTATGGTCAAGTCTGAAGATGTATAGATGTCTGCATATACATATAATGTATCTTTGAAATGAAAACGCATTCACTTAAAATTTAATGGCAAGACATACTTGTTAAATCACTGAGCTCTTTGCAGGGAAACAGTGAAAGCCAAGACTGATTTTGTTTTTATGCTGCATTGAGAGAGTACCAAGTTGATGCCCTTCACTGGGTCCAGCTGCAGAGAGATTCTCCCAGTGTATAATCCCTGGCTTTTCCAGCTCTTTCTGTCTCTCACAAACACACACACATATACACACACACATGCGAACCAGCCTGTAACACATCCCAACACATCTGATACCAGACAGAATGGGTTCCTGGACTGGTCATCTCCATGTCCTGAAACAAAGACTTTCTGTTAGATATTTTTGCTTTG